AAATTTGATAAGGATTTTGGATAATCTCTTTGATGTGTCCTTGCATAGGTTTGTGAGTATTTTTTAAATTATTTCTTTAATAACTATATAATTAGAAGAAGAATTTCATTACAACAGCATTGACATATTCAATAACTATTTCCAGAGCTAAGATGCATCTCCTTCCAAATTGGTTGAGGTAGGACCATAGGAGAAGGGTATTAGTAAGGGAGAAAGGGGGAAATGGGGACACCTTAACAAGGGAAACCATGATGGAGGGGTTAGACAATGTGAGAGATACACAATGCCCAGCTAGTTTTGAAAACCAGATACAACCATATTACTCTTACAACCTACTGACAAGTTATACATAGCAGATCAAGAAATATACATCTAGGTAAGGTTTATCTGAGAACAACTGGTCTTAGCCCAAGATTTATCTATATGACACACAGTAATTAAAAGTATGAGAGTAGTGGAACTAACCTTCTTGGGTGTTTAACAGACATACTTTGAGGCCTATAATAATTTGGTCCGAGGGACATAAAGGACACTTTTTGTTCCTTGCCCTCCTATGTTGACTTGTTCTAGGGGACTATGAGCATCTCTCAAAATGTCCTATAATGGTGGTGGGTCACTTGTCCTCTTGATCAAGGAGGCCTAGGTGACCCCACCAGATGGACTTGAACCAGTGTCCAGTCTACAAAGAGGAGGGTCAACACAGAGGAATTATTTCCTCCATGCTTCCAAGCGAAGCCAACCATGGTTGAGCAGGACCCTTGACTTATCTCCACATAGGCAGAGCTGGTAAAAGAAAGGAGCCAGGGGCTCCTCCCAAGCCCATGTGATCCCTGAGGAACAGATCCTCAAATGACCTTAAGAGTAAAAATAAATAGGTGTATCTGGACCAACTGTATGGCCTTAAACACCCAAATGAAAGTATAAACAAAAATTAAAGGGGTCAATATAATTTCTTAAGAGTCCATGTGCATAGCTAAAGTCTACATAACAAGCAACAATGCCAGACAGGTGATACCTTCTTTTGAGTTGTTGGCCAGGGTGGCCAAAGGGACTCCCAGATAGTAACCCAGCATAGAACTGAAAAATGAACAGCAGACCCCAATCTTACCTAAAGGAATATTGACAACTGATTACTGCCAGATGAGGAACAGCTGACCCTTCTAAAACAAAGCCCTCTGGTTAGGCTGACTAGATTCACCAGAAGGGCAAGTAGTGGGGAATGGCTATGGGTGCCGACAACACAGCAGACAGTAGCAGGGATATCAGAGTATAAGGGCTCTAGTGGTGGGAAGGAGGCTATGGGAGGGCGCTATCTGAGTGTGTAGTCGAATGAGATGGTTTGGGATGTTCTGTGTGATATACACATATACACACAAAAATCAATAAATTTTTTAAAAATGTGTTATATTTGAGGAGAAAGAATGGAAATTTACTTCATGCTAATTAGTAGAGGTTAAAACCTCCTTTAATTTTGTGTCTTATAGGGTTTATACTGAGTACAATATTATATAACTGTAATAATTCAACTGTAAGCCTAAAAATGTACAGCCAATTTTGTAAGAGATACAGCCTAGCTCAAAAAATTGCTATTGAATATGTCAATGCTATTGTAATGAAATGCTTCTTCTAAGTATGTGGTTATTAAATAAATTTTTTTTTAAAAAAGGATAACCAACACTCATTTAACTAGACCTTGTTAGTTTAAAACCCAATTATTCACAATTCTAAATATGCATTATACATCCATACACACGTATTTATGAATATGTAAAATTTCAGTAGGAAAGATCTCTAGAAATGAAATTACTGAGTCAAAGAGACAGTTTTAAAATTTTGTATATATTGCCAAACAACAATTCAGAGTGGCTGCGAAGTTATTCCAATGCCAGCAGTGATGTGCATGGAAACCCCAAGCGCCCTGGACGCAAATCCACCCATTGTTATTGGAGGCTTAAGTGAAGCTTTCTTTGTTGACCTGCATAGTCCGTGATTAGGTCACTGACTGGTACATGCTGGACCAGTGGCTACAAAGCTTCAGCTATGCAAACCACTTGGAATACAAGGGCCCGCCCCAGAGCTCCTAATTCAGTGAATCTAGGGTGCAGCTTGTGAGTTTGTATTTCTACCAAGTTTCCAGGTGTGGCTAAACCCACATACCTGGATTTGAAGCTTGGCCTGAGATGGGACTAGAGTTTTGGGCTTAAAAAAACAAAAAACAACTCTTCAGGTTATTGTGTGCATGGTATAGTCAGAGTTGAGAAAAACCTGCTTTGAGTTTTCTCTGATCAGAGAAGGATTATAATTTACATGAGAACTCTTATCTGATTATTTTTGTAAGTTTTTTAACATTCTTTTAAATCACTATTCTTTCATCGTTTCACATATGTATGCAATTTCGATCACATACCCCACCATTACAAATCGCCTGCTTCTGTTGAGCACCCTCTTTTTAACAATTTCTCTTCCTACTTTCATGGGTTTTAAGTCCACTGACTTTAATTAGGGTTGCTTGCCTGACCATGGATTGGAGATTACCAAGCACAAGCACCTAACGAATGGCTTCTACCACTGAAGAAAATGATTCCTTTCCTTCTGGTAGCCACAAACTGCCTGTAGCTCCCCAGGAGGGGTAGCGCCTCATCAGCCCTTCTTACATCCATGATGGGAATTTGAAGGACCCAATCTTGTTCAGGTCCTGTGGAGGTAACTACAACCGCTGTGATTTCATGAGTGTAACAGCCATGTCATGTCCATGAAACAGTGCTTACAACACTCTTCCCCATCCTTGGCTCTTACATTCTACACCCTCTTCTGCCATGTTCCCTGAATCTTGGAGGGGGTGATACAGATATCCAGTTCAGTGTGAAGTACTCAACAGTTGCTTATTCTCAGCACTTTGACCAGTTATGAGTCACTATATTAACTACTTACTACCCCTGCAAAGAGGAGCTTTTCTGACCAAGACTGAGAGCAGCACTCATCTGTGGGTTTAAGAGGCTGTTTGGCAATCTATTTATTCAGCAAAACAAGAGTAGTGGGTTTCCCCCTAGGGCCTATGACCTTCCAGTCATGTGCTTTTAACCACCAAGTTTATATTACCAGATATGAATTCCCTCTTGTGGAACGGGCTTCAAATTTAATTGGCAAGTGATTGGTTACCCTATAACAGTTATGCCTTTATTGCACCAGTGGTCACATATTACCTGGCAGGTCAGTATTATAGGATGCAGCATCCACATCTGTATGAGAACACAGATAATTTTTACCCCCAGCATCCACATAGCACCATCTGGCGCTATAACAGCCAGCTGGCAAGGAGGGAGCTTCTGGCTCAGTTCCAGCTTGCTTTCCCTATGTCCTTCAACTGAAGTGTTCAGTGGTTTCAGAAATAGGGTCTTATCATTCAGTTTTGGTGGGTAAACTAAGAGCTGTGGCAATAGACTTTATTTAAAGGAGGCCTTTAGACCTCCCTCACCTAGAATTCATAGGGACATATCCCAGACCTGGCATTGGAATTGACCAATCTTAACTTGAATGAGGATCTCAGCACCAAAAGAAAAGGAAAACTCTCAAGCTCTCTCTCCATTCCACTGGGCTAAGCAATTCACTGAGCTACATGACCCTACATCATAGCTTTTAGGGACTAGAGGCTCCCTTCATCAAGAATCAGAACCAAATAAACAGTAGATGTTGGCTGATGTTTGTCACTTCTCACTGCCTCACTCTGTCAAAGGCTTGTGTTCACGAGAGGCTAGCAAGAACTCTTATGTGCTTGAGTGCAAGCTACTGTCTTTCTAGAGACCCTTCTGTTTATATCTGGCCTAACTAGAGTCATGCTTTGGCTGCTAGCAGATGGTGACCTGACTTATGCTTTATGTTTCTGTCCCATTGCTGAATGGTGGCTGACATAGTGGCAACAACTGGTGTTGACAGCTAAGTACATCCACTGAAGAGTAGGGATTCCAGGTGTATGTGTAAGAGACTTTCCAGGTGGAATCTGGTATGGTCCAGACAAGCAGAGCTACCATGTGACATTATGTAGGCTGTTCAAGGCACAAGGCTCTGGAAAGCCCCATTCTCACCAATTCTTGAAGCAGTTTTCTGGCAGATGACTAAAGAATATACCACAGAAGGGATTCCCTTTTCTAATTCTGAATAAGTTCCCTGTGAGTAAGGGGTGACTTTGCCATGAACTTACCAATGGCTACATGGTTCCAGTGGTCTTTTATGAAGAATATCTATGGATACCATGAGCTGAGACTGAGCTTTTACTCACATACCTGATCTTTGCTCTCTCTCCAGAATAGGTTTCTAGCCTAACTAATCAGGTGAGAGAAGGGATCAAGAACTTAGCTGAAGCCAAAAAGGTCAAGAAACTGATTGAGAAAGAGAAGATGGAAGCCCAGGAGACACTGGGAGAAGCAGAGGTAGATCATCAGAGAGGGGAGAAAGTTCTTATTGGGCAAAGCAGGTCTGCCTTCTAATGGTAACAACAGCCACCGCACCATCCTACATGCTAGGTACTATGCCAGATGCTCAATGTGCATTTATGTAACGACCCCAGCAAACTTGTCTCCATTTTACAAAGGAAGAAACTGAGGCTTAGAGAATAAGATAATTACTAGTAAATTCTAATCTCCTGGCTATAGTCAAAGCAACCATCAAGTTTTTGCTTACTGTTCTACACCCAGCCTAGACCCTCGATACTTAAAATACCCAGAGACCAGGTACACAAGCCTTACCCTAGAGCTTGTTAGACTTTCATAATATCTGTCAGGTCCTTGACTGGACTGATTCAGAATCTGCATTTTTAACAACATCCCTTTGAGTTTACTGTAATGTTAATGTGGGGATACACTGGCTGGAACACCATTGTTCTGTAGGAGGGCTCAATAAATATTTATCAGAGTCAGAAGTATAAATGGCTTTATACCTATGCCTTCCTTAAACAGTCCGTCAAAATCACTTGCCTGGCACCCCAAAATATTTTGGCAAGATGAGATTCCAAGTGAAATTCTCAAACATTTGTTTCTGAAAGCTAATTTGTCAGGGGTGACAAAGATTCTTTGACAGGGATGTTTTCTGTGTTATAGACTCAGAGTTCTGGAAGAATCTCTGTCTTCATTTATTCCTGGATACAGGCTAGATAATTGATAGGACCATAAGGAGACCTTATGCCAAAGATGATGACCTGAAAAGGAAGCTATCTAACCAGAGTCAGTAGGTAGCTAATAAGCTCCACAGAGCCTCTTTGCTTCCAACTGAATTTCATCTTGAAGTAACCCCTGAATAACTACCTGGTCACCTTGAAATATACATACCCTTCCAAAGGAGGGAATGATCTTTGAAAGATTGGGTAACTAGTTTTAGGCAGGGCCTTTTGGAAAGTACGTTAATAGAAAATTAGTCTGTGAGAACGCCTTTGTACATGCACTGTTGTAGAATTCGCCTCTCACTGCAGCTCTGTAAGCAACTGGCAAGGCAGATGTGTCCGCATTACTCTGTGTGGGGTTTTGAAGTGCAGAGCTCTTCATCCAACTACTGCTCTTTCATGGGTAAACATTTCCTGAGGACTTCTATATTTTATAGAAGACACTTCAACTGGAAGAAGGGGTCTTGCACAGTTCATAAACATTGTTTAATTACTGTTGTCTTTGAATTTCTGGCCACTCTAGCTGGGGACGGTCTGAAGCCATTATATTAAATTAAAAGTAACTTTTATGGTACCTGTTTAAACATCATGACAATTAAAATACGATTTCTAGGGGCAATTTTGGTTTTATATAATACATTGAGTATTTGTAGAAGAAGTGAACCAGCACCCAAAGGAGCAGGAGGCTATAATACTCATCCTACTTCGTACCACTAGATGTCAGGATACACCAGGATCATTTCCTCAAACTGTCTTCAGCCTCAAATACATCAACTTTGGCAGGTGTTTCTAACTTTAATTATTTCTTTTCTTTGTGCGCTTTTATGAAAAAGTTCATCAAATCTCTGAAGCCATAACAATTATCCAAGGTCACCTCTAAATACTTTCTCAGTGGGTTAGAGGGTTAGAAGTGAGTTTTCCCTTGACAAAACTACCATTCCTGTGAGGAAATTGCTATGTAAGAATTTAATTTTGATTTATGTTCATTAGCATTGAGAGAAGAACAAAGAAGGCTTTTCTGAAAATTCCCAACATTATCTATTGTTTTGTTTGGAAATTACTATTGAGTTTTACTGTTCTTAGTAAGTATAGAATGCTCCTTAGAGCAGATTATAAAATGATATCCCTGTTCTCAGGACTGTCCAGCGTTAACTGGCCAATACACTGCATGCCGTTATATTATCCTCTAGGTATTTAGTTATTTGTTTTGATTTCTTCTTTTACATACACACAGTTTCTTTGGACAAGGCTTGAGAGATTTCACCAAACTTTTGCTCTTAAAATTGATTCATCCTTATTAACAACCTATGTAGGATTAGGTCTGTGACCTTTATTTGAATACTCAATCTCAGCAGATCTTCCTCTTAAAAACTCCATTTGGCTCACTCTTAGTCTATTACATATTAAGTACTTCCCAGATGTTCAAAGTTAAATAAAAGATTTCAGGTAGGCATGAACACCTCCTTTCTTCTACCTTTGGTATTTTCACTGACTCACCCCAAAGATAGGCTAAATTAAAAAACTTCAAGGGTACTAAATGTCAGTAATTAAATACAGTCATAGACTAGATCGAAACTTTCTATTTAAAAATGCTTTAGAATTTTCTTCTTAAGCTACGGTATGTTTTTCCTTCAATGGTACTGAGAATTGAACACAGGTCTACATACATGGTAGGCAAGGACCCTATGACTGAGCTGAATCCTGGGTCCATCCTCAGGCCCCTAGTCAAAGAGCTGAGAAGGACGAAGCTAAAAGTGAAATGACAAACCAGAGCAGTCATTCATCTTTCAGCCTGTCTGGCTTAGGAACCTGATTTGAACCTGTATTTGGTCCAGTGACTCTAAAGAGAGCTACATTTATGAGAGAAGTTTTGAGGGAAGAAGTGAAAAATTTGTCCAAAAGGAGACTTCATTTCATGTTATTTATTATTTATTTATTTATTTACTTTTATTTCAGGGAGCTCTTGAATAGAATGAAAGCAAAAAAAAAGTCTTCATTTCCAGC